GTCCCCCGGGGCCCGACTCACATACACTCCACAAAAGCAAATGCTCACAATTGGCACACTTGTGCCTTGTGTGTCGACAATGGAAGGTAAAGGCTCTCCGGATCAGTTTGGGGATGTTGAAGCCCTAAGCCCTAAACTTTGGGTTAATTACAGGGATCAGTAGACGCTTGTTCCTCAAAATCATACCCCGCGCTCAGTAACAGACTCTACTTTTGTGCTATGCCTTGCCATGCCCACAATAACGCTAGTGTACATGAGGCCAATTTTAACTGATGTCTTCATTGATCATCTCCAAACCCCCACACTTGTTAACAAGCAAACGCAAATAACGAATAATCTCCTCCACCACCCTCATGCCTAAACGCTAAAGTTGAGGGTTCAGAATTTCTTGCACTCGCAGCATCGCCTTCGCACAGTTGCATCAGAACTTGGCCCGCTTCGCAACTCCTCGAAGCAGGCTTATATAGACTTCTTCTGTTTCAAGGTATGGGTTTGGGGCTTAAAGTTGATAGGGTTTATAGGATTTGTGTTGGGTGTAATTATAGGGGTTGCGGGGTTTATGGAATTACGCTCCATGTAAACTTCCCCTCTGGTGGGGGACTATAATACGGAATGGCAGGCTTTAGGGTCAGGGGAAATTACTAAGAAAGTTAATGCCTAGACCTCTATACTTTAGTTTTTGCTTCGGATGATTAATTCTGCATGTAGAAGATATTCGACAAAAAAACTAGACACCGATTATCCCGAAAGCAAGCAGTTCCACGTCAGCCCGGGAGGCGTGTTTGTGGCCGGCGTAGGGGTTGCGGTGAAGGTGGTGCGGTGTATGTGTCCGAAGTTAGAAAGGGACGTGTATTTGGCCGTGTTACTGCTACTGCAACTGCAACTGCTACTGCTACTGCAACTGCTACTGCTACTGCTACTGCTTTTGCTACTACCACTGCTGCTGCTGCTGCTACTACTACTACTACTACCACCACTACTACGACTACTACTACTACTATTACTACTACTGCCAGTAAAGAGAACAAACTCCCGCTTTTCATCCGCCGCAGGTTCTACTCTTGCTCCAAATAACGACAGCATCCGCAGAGAACGCGTCAGCTTCCCTGGCAATACACGCCAGGGGCAGGTACAGCAAAACACGGAAACTTACGAATCGCTTCCGTATTCTCTTATTCTCTTAACAACGCAGACAGACAACTATGGAATCATAAGCTGCCACTTGCCAGCACACCTCCTGGAGCACTGTCAAAACTTACATTTGACATATGACTTACAGAGATCCATAAACTGCATATCCAGTTCCTTGGGTGACCTTGCTACACAGCGCGGAAGCTCACAGTCAAAGGACGTGGACGCTGCCAGCCGAGCATTGTCTTCGAGTCGGCAGGCAGGCCCCGCTACCCCTCACGTTGGTGATCGCAGAGTATCCCGCGACTTGAGACATGGTGTCTGTCACGAGCTCACGCGGAAACGCTCTGTAAACTGAAAGCAGCACAGAACGGAAGAATGCAGAGCTATCACAGAATGACACAAAAATGACTGGAGGAATGACAGCCGCAGAGCAGAATGACAAGAAAATGACTGGAAAATGACACACAGAAAAGGCACAGAAATGACAAAAAAAATGACAAAAATAATTCTTTGCCATCCACCAAGCTGTAAAGGCAAGATTCTCACAACCCTAAACCCTAATACCCTAAACCCTAAACCCTTAAACCCTGATCCCTGATACCCTAAACCCTAAAACCTTAAACCCTGAACCCTAAACCCTAATACCCTAAAACCTTAACCCCTAAGCCCTGAACCCTCAAGGCTTTAGGGGGCTTGGGGTTGAAAGGGATGCCTTTTCGTGCTGAACCACACAGTAGGAATATGGTCTGCCTATAAAACACTACGGCAAAGAAGAGGATACCACCTCAGGGGTTTAGGGTTTGGGGTTTTTAGGGATTTAGGGATTTAGGGTTTAGGGTTTTAGGGTTTATAGGGTTTAGGGTTTTAGGGTTTTAGGGTTTAGGATTTTAGGGTTTAGGGTTTTGGGGGTGTAGGGTTTGAAGGTTTAGGGTTTCAGGTTTTGGGGCACTTTATCTCTTTGGGACTGACTCTGTTGATTTGTACTACATAACCCCCGCGTCCATTCCATGTTTCATTAGCCCTGGACCCTAGATCCCGGCATAATATCCCAGTATTCCCGCTAAACCCTAAAACCTAAATACTACGTAATTGGGAAGCTCGACCATGAACTTGATCTATTGTGATCTATTGCTCGCGTCAGCGAAGCCTTGGCACTCAAAGCACCAAGCCTTCAGGTTTAGGGTTGATGATCGATTTGGGCCCCAAAATCTAGAACTGGTACCCACTTTGCACCAATTGGTCAAGGTAAGGTCTGGCTGTCAGGAAGAACCCTACGGAACCTAATAGCCAAATGTAGGCCATAATTACAGGCTTTAGAGCCCAATGTAGGTATTATTTGTGCGATTTGTACACTTGGATCCCTACCTTAAACCGTAAACCCTAAACGCAGTGAGGCTACATTGCCTTCTTGCCTGACCCTAAACCCTAAATTCTAAACCTTGGCCTTGCAGGAACCCACTCTCATGGGTTCTGCCACCCTAAGCCCTAAGGTTTCGGGTTTACTGTCTACGGTGAGCCATAGTCTACACTCCTTGTAGCCCCATTAATATCCCCTATAATAATCCCCTATGAAATCCCTTTTAAGGACTGTCGCTCACTTAATCCAAAACCCGAAACACTAAACCCTCAACCGCCAGGGTTTCCCTCGGATCTAGCTTGCATTGTAAGAACTAAGACGAGTTGCTGGGGAAAACCCAGCGTTAAGGATTCAAGGGCCCCTGAATGTTTTATCCGCTATACCCTATCGTAGGGATGCAAAATTTCCTCCAAACAGGTGTAATTGAAGACTTTCGGGCCATCAGTAAAGACCTTTTATGCACTTTCAACCATCATGCTCAGCCATGGACAAAACATCCCAATTCCTGTTCGAGAAGCCATGCTTTTAATGGTGCACCTGCAGCTGAATTCCAAGACCCTGAAAAAGGGAAGCTTCGTGTCAAAACTCTCCTACAAGACCTCAACTCCAGATAGGTGATGATACTGCGAAACCCTCATGTAGCCCTAAAGGGTTTAGGGTTTAGGGTTTTAGGGCGGTCCCTGTAACTTTCTTGTTGATATCTAGTTACTTGGGCCCCAAAGTAGCTGATAGAAATCCCTTTGGGCCCTACGTGTACGGCATGGAAATATCTCATCCCTACATGGACCAGTGGGCTACAGTAACACTACAAAGACTGTACAGTGTTACATGGTCCAAGTAGGTGCTCCCTATAAAAAAAACCAAGCTCATAAGAGACCACAGCCAGATGAAAGACCAAAATCCATTACCCGAAGTCCGTATTTCTAACTCAGTCCGCCGCCTGAGACAAGCTATACCTACCTAGACACCAAAACTAGAGTTAACTATAGCACAACACCCTTAAAACAAAGACACATGGGCAATAATTCTACGTATTTTGGGAGGTCCAAGTAGATGTTCGAGCTGTTGTTGGACCACCAACACTAACCCCGCGATGCCAAAGCTCAAAACTCAAAAAAGACCCTCCAAGCCTCCCTCAACCAAACACACCCCAAGGATACACCACAATAATATCAACGTAGTACCCAACTATGCAGACTACATATGCACTTATGGGTATTCTTGTAAAGGACTGCACCAAACCCTTGGGTTGAATTTGAAGGTCCAAACACAAATCCCCCCCAGCACAGAAGGGCTCGCCTCCAAACTACTGAATAGCTCTGAGCCCTAAACTCTGAACCCTAGCCATAAACCCTAAACCCGAAGCTCTACACCCTAAACCGCTCCATCTTAGTTTCCGTTTGACTCTCCATTATTGGTCAAAACCTATTGCAACCTCTGAACTGTAAACTCCAAACTTAAAGTTTAGGGTTTAGGGCTCAGGGTTTAGGATTTAAGGCTTCGGGCCTCAAGCCCCCTAAATAGAAACCCCCAAATCCTCAAGCCCAAGCCCTTGAACACCTAAACCCCAAGCCCTAAGCCCTAAGCCATTGAAGACCTACACCGCTAAACCCTTAAACCCTTCAACACTACACCCTTAAACCCCCAACCCCAACATCCTCCATAAGCTCTTCGCTGAGCTTACGCCGCTCCGCTGCAGAAGGCACTGGTGGCGCCGGCCTCCGAAACCCCGAAACTTGGAACTTCGCAGGCATTAGGGTTTAGGATTCAGGGTTTATAAGGTTGAAACCCCTGCTATATTGGGAATAAGGAGATAAGATCTAATAGATGTATCTTATCTGATAAATATATAAGTCATATTGGAAAAGAAAATGGACGGTACCACATTGTTGTTGTTCAGGCTAAACGTGGAACTTCGTAGTGGTTCTGGGGTCAGGGTTAAAGGGGCTAGGGTTTACGGTGTTAGGAGGGTTCTGGATTTCGGGCTTTATTGGGTTTAGGGTTGAGAATGGAGAGTTACCTACAGGGTGCCTAAATAGCTACAGCAACTCTGTACATGGGGGATAGTAAACCTAAAGTAAAGTACCCCAAGCATGGGGTAGAATATAAGATCTAGGTAAGCGTAAATGATGAACGCCAAAAAAAAGTTCCGGATATGCTGTGATATACCCTATTGAGGAGGTAGGACAGAAACCCCAAGAAGAAGGACCTAAACCCTAAACCCCTGTCAACACAAGCCACCCTCCATCTCCGCTGTGACAGGTCTACGTTCCGCAGGACTTCGATGGTTCGAATGCCGCCAAAAGGAGTGCGACGGTCTGGCCCCAGGCGGGGCTGTGAAGCTGCCAACATTGGTAGCGGAGCCCCGACCTGGGGCCCAAAGGAGACCTTCTAGGTAGAAGGGAATTGCAACACAAGCCATGGATGAACGGGGCCTGAAGCGGTTTTCGGCGAAGAAGAAGATGCCGGAAAGGCATTGAAAAAGTGGCAAGCATGGGCACTTGCAAAGATGCTAACCGTGAAGGATCTGCAGAAAGTCCAGCGTGGACCCTGGCTGTTCACACTTCTAGATGGGAAGGCGCTCGAAGCTTGCGAGCACCTGAAACTGGAAGACATTGCCAAGGAGGATGGCGACACTGCCATTTGGAAACTGCTGAAAGCTCGATTCCCGGAGAAGGAGCTGCATGACCAGCTGGGCGAGGTGTTGGGAGAAGTCTTTGGCTTGGCGGCCAAAGACGGGGAGTCCATGAAAGAGTGGACGGCTCGAGTCTTGGAGACCTTTGAGCGGTGCAGGCGTAAAGCCTCCGTGGACTTTCCAACCGAAGCTAGAGGTTGGATTATGTTGCATTGCGCCGGCTTCACTGAGGAACAGAAAGCCATCGTCAAGGCTAAGACTCAAGGCAGCCTTGACATGGAAACTGTCAGTGCTGGCATCCGCTCGTGTTTCCCGACATACAAGGCGTCCAACCACAAGGTCAAGAAGCCAACGACGGTCCTCTTAGCGGACGAGATGCCTGAGGAAGAGGCTCCTCCTTCAGAGACTGCCTTCGATGATGTGGAGGCATTCTTGGCAGATCATCATCTGGAAATGGACGGTGCTGAGGACCCTCTTTCCGAGACGGAAGCTGCGGAAGCCCTCGCAGTATCGTGGAAGGAGCGCAGAGCTGAGATCAACAGGCTCAACAAAAGCCGTCAGTTTGGCGCCGCCGACAACTCGAAGCGCAGCTTCAGGATCGAGGTTGAGGAGCTTAAGCGCCGAACTCGACGCAGAAAATGCGGCCGTTTAGGCCATTGGGCACGAGAGTGCCGGGCGAAAACGAATGCTGCAGGCCAGCCGCTTGCTTCGCGCTCAAGCGGAGGAACCAGCAGCGGAGGCAGCAGCAACAAGCCACAGAACAACGAGACGCTCTACGTGGAGACTGCGACCGACGACGCCTCGGAGGGCACCCAGGACCCGGTGTTCTTCGTTGGTGCAGCCGAAGAGGTGATGGCTACTTCTTTGGTGAGCTCCCCTGGCAAGGGCGTTATCGACTCAGGTTGTGGCAAGACCCTCATTGGAGAGGAAACGTTGGCACAGATGGAGACCTTGTTGCAGGGCTGCAAGGTGATCAGATCAGCCCAGCGAAATAGTTTTCGTTTTGGCAATGGTGCCACGGAGGATTCGAGCATGATGGCACGCATTCCGGTTGCGATTGGAGGCAAGACTGGGGTGATTGATGCGGCAATCATCCGAGGCCGAGCTCCGTTGTTGCTTGGTCGTCCCACTCTTGAAAGATTGGACGTGGTGCTCAACTTCAGAGAGGGCACGATCACAATGCTTGGCGAGGGCAACCCTGTGAAGCTCACCCGAAATGATGCCGGACAGTTCCTTGTCGACCTTGTGCAGTTTCCGGTGTCTCGACAGGAAGTGTTGCGCATGCCTGAAGCCCTGATTGCCGAAGTTCCCGACATAGTACCCTCCCTAGGTGTACCTGTTGAATCTAAGTCCGGATGTACCCCCAAGATAGGTAATGTCCCTAAACCTTACCCTAATCTTGAGGAAGCCTCCAAGCCGGAACCCAGCAAGCTCCCAAAGATCAGAAGGAAAGATGAGCGAAGACTCCTGACCCAGTGGAAACGCCAACCTCCTTCCCAGGAAGACGGTGCCTCAGCCTTTGCCGTGGCAGAGCTGTTCTCGCCTCCACGCTTCCGTTTGGAGGCAGAACGTCAGGGATATAGAGGGTTGAGTTTTGATGTCCTTCAGGGTTGGGACTTGTTAGACCCCCAAACGCAGGTTGAGGTTGATAGACTCCTGGATAGGGCTAGACCCGTGCAAGCACATGGGAGGTTGGCACAACCTAAATGCCAGCAAGTTGTCACCTCTCGAGCGGGCACGCCTGATTCGAGAAGCACGAGCCCAAGCCAGATTTGCAGCCGTTCAGTGTCAAAAGCAGATCAAGCGTGGCGGTCGCCTCCTGTTTGAGCACCCATGGGGTTCTAGAATCTGGAAGTTTGGGCCGGTTAAGACTCTAGTCCGTAGGTATGGGATTCAGAAGATTGAGCAGTGTGCATATGGTTTGTGTGATCCGGACACTCAACTCCCGTACCTTAAAGCTACTGGCCTCATCCTTAATGACCCTAACATGCAAGCCGCCTGTAGGAGGTGCCCAGGTCATAAGCAACATCAGGTCATAGAAGGGACGTGTGCCACAGGAGAGCATCGCAGCACAATTGCCGGAAGATATCCCCTAAAGTTTGTTCAATCCTTCCTGCAGCCAATCCTACAAGACATGCCCGAGTGTTTGTTTGTCTTCGCCGAGGCCAGTGAAGCTGTGAGCCTTCAAGGCTATGAGTGCCTGCCTGGGGCGGAGGAAGCTAGTGGCAGCCAAGCCGTCGCTGAGCCAATGGAAGTAGGACCTAATCAGGAAGGAAACTTTAGGAGTAAGGAATCCCCCTTAGATCCTATAGGGTTAGCCCTCAAGAAGCTTCACAATAATTTGGGCCATCCTACTCAAGCGTCTTTTTCTCAGAGTTCTCCGCAACAGCGGGGCGTCCGAGGAAGCCCTGAAGCGAGCTGGGACCTTTCGATGTCCCACCTGTGAGGCAGCCAAACGCCCGTCTGATGCGATTCCCGCATCCCCAGCTAAGTCAGAAGGGTTTAACGATAGAGTAGGGATGGATGTGAAGTATCTTCAGGGTTGGAAGAGTGGGGATAAGATTCCGTGCCTCAACATAGTTGATTATGGGAGTTCTTATCAACAGATGGTTCCCCTGCCGGGCCGTGAGACAGGTGACCTAATCCGTCAGATGTATCGCCAGTACTGGCTCAGCTGGGTGGTGCTGGACCCTTCCCAGCCGAACTTGAGTGAAGCGCTGTGTCAAGCATGTGAGAATGAGGGCTCCAAAGTCTCTCATACCGCCGCTGACGCACATTGGCAACTAGGAAAGGTTGAGAGGCACGGAGCACTCTTTGCCACAGTGTTTCAGAAGGTTTTGGCGGAGGTCAGCCCGCAAGATGAAGAGGCATGGAAGGAGTGTGTCACACAAGCACTCGCAGCTAAAAACTCCATGCTCAACAATGGAGGCGTTTCTCCATGCCAATTTGTCTTCGGTACAAATCCTAGGATTCCCACAGACTTGTTGGTTGACAGTCCTGATGTTATCGCTAACGAAGCCGTAGCTACAGAGCCTGCAGTGGAAAGTCAGAACCGCATTCGCCTTGCAGCTAGACAAGCAGTGATTGCCAGTCAGGACAGCAAGTCACTCAGGGAAGCGCTGCGAGCCCGTCCAAGGCTTCGCCGTGACTTTGAGTCAGGGCAGTGGGTAGCGTACTGGAGATCCCAAAAGCTGGAGAAAGGCAAGATAATTAGGGGCTGTAGATGGTATGGTCCTGCCTTGGTGTTGGGGAAAGTAGGCCGTAATATTATCATCGCCCATCGTCGAAGCATACTCCGGTGCGCCCGTGAGCAGCTCAGACCAGCTACAACGGAGGAACAACCTCCTTCTTCTGCAGTGGATGACGAGACCCGGGACCTGTTAGGCATGAGGCAGCTCCTTGACAAAGGCAAGTTTCCTCAGAACCAGCTTATCGACATCACTCAACAGGAGTTTCCCCCAACTCAACAGGAGTTTCCCCCAACTCCAGAAGAGATTCAATCTCCTCTTCCACAGCCTGTTCCTCTGCCACTGGGCTCTCAGCCGTCCAATTCGGCTGGTCAGACAGCCGCCGAACTTTTGAGCCAGCAGCCTGCTTCAGACCAGCAGACGCCTTACGCTCCGGTTATAGGGTTAGGGAAAAGACTCGTCCCAGTGAACTCCCCCTTCATAGGCCCCCAGCTTTCCGACAGGAGGATCTTTCAGAGATGCTGAGCGAAGTTGCTGCGCGCATCGTGCCTGAACGCTCGGCTGAGAGTAGCAGCGCCGCGCGATCAAGTAGCCCTGGCCCAGAGGTTCCGAGTCCCAGAGAGCCTGCCTTCAAGCGCCTCGCAAGTTCTGCGCCTGACGACCTGCGACAGGCACTCAACAAGAAGGGTCCGTTGAAGCACTGTTTTGTGAAGTGGCCATGCAGGATTTTCGGGATAGTTACCCTCAAGCCTCCGAAATCGATGTCTTCCTTGCCGGATTTCTACAGAAGCGTCTTCAGAAAGAGCTTCCCGCTGAGAACAATCCCCCTGCTCTTCAAGAGGCCGTTGAAGAAGCTAAAGGGGCAGAGTGGTGCACCATGCTGTCCAAGCCTGCTGTGAAGGTCTGGTCAGGCGCACACGCAGATAGAATTCGGCGTGATCACCAGGATCGCTTCATTGGGAGCCGTTTTGTGGTTACTCAAAAAGAAGAAGAAGAGAGCACGCGCCTCAAAGCGCGGTGGTGTTTACAAGGGCACCTCGACCCTGATTTTGAGTCCAAGGTCCAGTCCGGCGCATGCCATTCACCTACCATGTCTCAATTGTCTCGCACTCTTCTTCTGCAATCTTGGTGTCCAAACGAGGGCGCCTGTGCCTAGGCGACATAAAAGGAGCGTTTTTAGAAGCTGGTCCTCTCAAGCCTCAGTTTCGCCCACTCTATGCTCATCAACCCCCTGGGGGGATTCCGGGTTTGCATCCTGATGATGTCATAGAAATTACTGGCAACGCTTATGGCCTGAATGACGCTCCGTTCGCTTGGTGGGAAGCCTTTGATGCTGAGGCCCGGTCTTTGGGTTTTCAACGATCCCAGTTTGATCCATGTGTCTATTACTTCAGGGACCAGGGGGTGTTAGCTGGTGTTCTGGGGGCTCACGTTGACGACTCCCTGACAGGCGGGGAGGGCCAAGCTTACGTAGCAGCCATCACTAAGTTGAAGGCTCGCTTTCCGTACAGAAAGTGGAGGGTTGGTGCTGGTGAGTTTTGCGGAGTTATGTACCATCAGGACCCAGTCACGTTTGAAATTTCCTACAATCAGCGTGAGTATGCTCAGCACTTGCGACCCGTGCCACTTTCCAAAGAGCGTGCTAAGCAACGAGATCTCCCGGCTACTGCTAGAGAGATTTCAGCACTTCGCGGTTTGAATGGTGCCAGTAATTGGCTGGCCAATCAGTCTCGCCCTGATTTAGCAGTTCAGGTTAGCATGTCTCAGCAGGCCTTTCCGCACCCTAAAGTAAGCGACCTCTTGTATGCCAATCAGTTGGTCCACAGAGCCCGACAGTTTCAAGAAGTTGAGATCAAGGTGCGGCCGGTAGATCTCGATCGCGTCTGCATCTGTATGCACAGTGATGCGGCCTGGAGTAATGCTAAGGAGGACCGCACGCAAGCGGGTTACTTTCTTGCCTTCTCTGACAAGACCCTGTTGGAGAATAAGTCAGCTTGTTGGAGTCCCTTCCACTGGCGTTCATATAGGCTGCATAGGGTGGTTCCTTCCACCCTTGGGGGTGAAGCACAGGCCTTCTCCACTGCCTCCGCTACTGCTGAGTGGACAGCGCTACTGCTGGCCGAGGCAAGGAGTGGACCCTTTGACCTCCGACAGCGCCATCATCAGCTGAGACAAGTCCCAATTGTAGGGATCACCGACTGTAAGTCTCTCTACGACCATCTTCACTCGTTGTCTTCGCTTTCCGGGGTTCAAGATAAACGGGTTTGCATTGACATCGCAGTTACCAAGCAAAGCATTCAGAATCGTGGGTTGGTTGTTCGGTGGTGTCCCTCAGAGCTGATGGTGTGTGACGCTCTCACAAAGGATAAGGCCGATCCGGCAGACCTCCTTCGGGCTATCCTTGAGCTCGGTACTTACGAACTCACCGAAGAAGCTCAAGTGCTCAAGACTAAAAAGCAAGTCCGAGAGCGTATCAAGGCCTCACGCGCGGCATCCGCACAGAAGCACTAGTTGTTTGTTTTTAGGGCCCGGGGTAGTTGTTTAGGTTTGGGGTTCTTTCCCGGTTCTCTGTTTCCAGTAGTGGGTCGGATTCTAGAGCCTAAGGGTATTGGGGTTTGCAGCACTGCAGTCTCTGTGTGTGTGGCAATGCAGCATCTGACAGAGCCAGCGAGTGCGTGCATCATGTGTCACATCTTTTGGTGGATTTCCGCCAGCTCATTTTTGCGTTGCCTCAGTAGCAGCACGTGTACTAGTATTTCTTGCTCCAGCCTTCAGCATACCATGTCCTCGAAGACCTTGCCAGCAGACATTCCAAAGTTTGGTGAGATTCGCCCGTGGCTTCATCGCCTTGCCAAAGAAGGACTCATTGAGATCAAGGATGTTGCCATTCTGGCAGAGCCCGCTCCTCCAGAGCTATCTCATGGGGCGATGACCGATGCTCCCAAGCGAGCCAAGCTTGACCATGCGGAGTGGGTGTTTCCCTCTCAGGCTGCTTGCGCCGCCGCCTCGGGTGGAGACATCAAGAAGGACGGCTACACCGCAAAGAGTGTCAGTCCAGAGCTCCCGCCAGGAGTCACAAGCTTGGAGCAGTGGGGAAGCACCGTTTGCACCCTTCCGAAGATCAAAGACCGCAACCTGTGCTACACGGAGATCCTCGCAAGCAAAGAGAACATGATTCTCGACTATATGTCACTTGGATCTACAACAATCGCTCCAAGAGTGCCAAGGCCGAAGACTTTGCGAAGTACATGGATGCAGTGAAGTGGGATAAGCCAAGTCAGCCTGCGATTCCTGGAACGAAGGAATCCAGAGTTTTCAAGTGAAAGCTCACGATGGCATACAGGCCAGGAGTCGAGGGACGGAGAGCCCTCACTTCCTATCAGTTCTTCTTTTGATTTTGGAGATAGAGAGGAGTGTCAACACAAGCCACCCTCCATCTCCGCTGTGACAGGTCTACGTTCCGCAGGACTTCGATGGTTCGAATGCCGCCAAAAGGAGTGCGACGGTCTGGCCCCAGGCGGGGCTGTGAAGCTGCCAACACCCCTAAACCCTAAAACCTATACAAACCCTAAAACCAACAAACCCTAAACCCTAACCCACTAAACCCCTAAACCCTAAACCCTTACAATAACAAAAGGGCAACGCTGCTGGCTGGAGCCAGAATGTCTGAGGTCGAGAGACAAATCGCTGCAACCTTGTTATATTGATTTTGAATCTTGTGCACAAAAGCATCAATGAGAAGACTCGTCTCGTAGGAAAAGCATTGTTCTGACCTCTCATCATTGCCATTCTGCCACGACCGAAAGGCGTTTGTTGAGTCAAATCGAAACAGAACGAGCGCGCCAGAGGAAGAGCCTTTGTGTTCCTCACCGACGTTCAGATCAAAGCTGTGGAAGCTAGCAGCCAGGCATTTGCCAGGGCGTTGTCTCTCCTCAAGGTCAAAATAGCCTTAGGGATTAGGGTTTAGGGTTGAAGGTTTATTGAATGTTTATGGTGTAGGGGTTAGTGTTCAGGGTCACCCGGTGGTTCCCATATGTGGGGGGTTCCCGAAACCGTAGTCCCTGTAACAATGGTGATAGCGATCCAATCAAGCTCCTGCAAAAGCTATATTCGCTAGCTCCCGGCTCTTGCACATTTGCTTTAGGGTTTAGGGTTTA